TTCTGTTGACTCACCCTGCTGGCAAAGCAGATATAGCTACTGGAGAGGTAGAGTCTCCCCCAGGTGTGCTGTTTATTATAGGGAGTCCATAGGACACAGTCCGTGTCCCCGTCTAACTTCTCATCCAGGGGAAGACAAAAGGCTGACCTATAAATAAAAATTTCTTATGCATAATATATCTAAAAAAGGGCAGGATGTCTAATGTCATATGATGACCAGTCTAGACACCTTTACCAAAACAAAAGGTCGGGTTCAATGTACCAAAATTACCATGAACATTGAACCCGACTTCAATTTCATGACAGGTTTTTCCAGTTATGGTATAGTCCTTTTCGCAGGTAATAAACTGTTGTGATATTTGAAGAAAAATGATAAACACATCTTTTCAAATATCAAAAAATGTCATAGTGCTAGTTCCTCTGTCTGCAGTGTCTTTAAAGATAAAACACTGATGACTACATGACAATAAACTTTCAATAAGATGCCACGATTCAGTGGGGGATGATTTAACATAATTTTGGTCTTTAAAAGAAATGGGAGAATAATGGCTTGAGATTGCCTGAAGTTTCGGTTGAATAAAGTATGGATTTAAAACTTAGTTTTAAAATGCAATACATTCATATTACATTGGCCTTGATTTTTAACTTTTTCTCAAACACATTTAAAGTTATTCCAAGGTGATGCATACCTGTAAGTCAAATTGGTCAAAGGGCAGAAATTATTTGCCCCAGTGAAAATTTTACAAAAGATCTGCTCTGACCTTGACCTGTGACCTAAAAATGGCTTCACAACTTTAACTTACTTAGGTTCATTGTTCACCCTAATCTCATAGGCAACTTTCTATTCAGTAAAAGCATTATTGCATTAAGGGAATAAATTGTGATCATATCAACATTTTTAAATACTAAGAGAGCTATATTTCACCTTGACATCTGAGTCACTACCATCAAGGTCACAGTGACATACAAAACAAAATGAATGTGCAGTTGAAACAAGATTTTAAATAAAAAATCTATCTTGACATTGTTTATACTCTCACTTTAACAAGAAGTCTCTGATGAGACTGTCACTCTAATGGTTTATACTTATAAAGAAGAAAAGAAAAAGGAGCATTTGAACTTGAAACCTGCAACAGCAAATCAAATTAGTCTTTTTCTTGGCAAAATTTATTGAAATCAGATCAAAACTGTAAGGAAAGCATTTTGAAACTACTGTAGACGTACTTTTTTCCACAGGGTCATAATTCCGCAGAATTTCAATTTCTGTTTAATCCGCGTGTAGAAAATTACAGGGATTTCCTAGACTGTTACTATATATCATGTGCATTTATATTTAGTACGCTTGGACAAATTTCCGCGGAAAATTTGTGACCACGTACATAGCGTAAATTAATACCACGCGGAAAAAAGTACTTCTACAGTACTTCAAATAAATTTCTAAATTTAGTAACCATGGCAACACCCTTCATGGAAGCTAACACTGATAAGAAGAATTATGTATCTTAGTATAGTCTACTTGTGTGCAAAGTTATATTGAAATCATTCCAAAACTGTAGGAGGAGTAGCATTTGAAAATATTTAGAAGTGATTTCTGTTTTTAGTTTTTAGCAAAACCATTCCTTGAAATCAAACACAGATTCATAGACTTATGTATCTAAGAGTAGTCTACTTGTGTGCCAAGTTCTATTGAAATCAGATTAAAACTGTAGGAGGAGTTACCGAGTAGCTTTTTGAAAATATTTCAAAGAAATTTCTATTTCCAGTCAGCATGGCAACACTGTTCATCAAAATTAAAAACCCTTAAACAGAATTACGTATCTTAGTGCAGTCAAGTTATATTGAAATCGGACCAAAACTGTAGGAGGAGTAGCATTTTGAAAAATTCATTCCAGACAGACAGAAAGCTAGACAAAGTGACACCTCATTGTTGCACTTTTTCTTTGACCAGTGGAGCTAAAAAAAAAACAGTTGTTTTACATAAGATTTTATAAAGACTTTTTTCTTCACTCATATGTTAAACTATGGTCTAATTTTTAGCCTTTACTTTAGCCATGACTTTAAAATGAACTTTCAATTAATTTACAAGTACTTTTATTTTTAAAAAAAGATCTATTTATCATGGTGCTGCTGGCATTTCTCTGTACATTTAACCTTCTCAATAATACTCTTGTATAATATTTATCAGATTAAACTGTACTTTTGTTAAGAGAACACCTTGACCTTCTCTCCCAATGTGGTCAAAAATATGGTCTTCATGGGACTCTTGCTACGAAACCGGCTGAAAGAGAAGTGCTCTTAAGCACATGTCTGATCGTGTACTTTCTACACTGAATATTGTTTTGAAGAAAGCTGTCTGAAGAATGGAAAATGTGAAAAGTTAACAACCGTCAGGCAAACAAGCTGGGAGCCGAGGCACACATGGATTAAAAATAACAAGACAAAGAGTTGAAAAGACATGATCGAATGTTGTGATTCTTAAGATCTTGGGGTTACAGACCTGAACGCGTCACTTCTAGCTCGGGCATCCAGGTCTCGCTTTATTGAGGACATTCGCTTTGGTGTCCTTTTCCTACAAAAAAAAAATCATTCGATACAATAAAACTTTATCTTTAGATGTTTTAAATGTATATTGCTGGATAAGTACACAAATTAGTATGTTTACCTTGTTTAGTGCTTAAGTGTGCACTAAATAGGTTAGCAATATCTGAATTATTTTTCTATCTATCATGTACATGTGCATTAGTATTAAAACTGTCCTTAGAAAAAGTCAAAGTAAGGCTAAGAACTTGAAAAACATGAGTGAATAGCTATTTACAATGTATATGCTCCTTAAGAGAGAGAGAAAAAAAGAGAAGGGGATAGAGAGAGAGAGAACTACAGAGAGAGAGAAAGGGGGAGAATACAGAGAGAGAGAGAGAGAAGAAGGAAGAAAGAGAGAGCTCACTTAGTTCTGTCAACAATTGTTTTGTCCTCTTCAAAGCCTCCCTCCTGCATTAACCTGTTAAGCAAACATATAAAGTATTTAAATTTTTATGGTTTCTGTCTTCATACAAATACAAAATGATGCATAAAAATAAATAGGAAAACACATTTACCTGCAATAAGACATGTTTGTGAAACACAAATACACCCCCCCCAACAATCCTACTCCTTAAAATCAGATTGAAAATTTTACACATTTGAACAAAAAGAGATGTCTTAATTATAATACATAATCCTGAGCAAAGTTTGCTATAAGATATGATGTATTTTCAGAGAAAAGCCAATTCAACCATACAGTGGAGCCTAACCCAAAACTCAGACGTCATACCGGTAATTGCAAAGTTCTGATAATGAGTCATTGGTTATTGAAATCATGCAAACAGTTTTACTGCTAGTTGTCCTGGAGCATGGTTTTTTGACGATTACAATTACATGTATTTAATTTTGATGCTTTTATGTTTTTTCCCTATGACATTTAAAATTACATATGTAATGTATTTTGCATTCAAATTTGCCCAAACTAGGTTGTATATAGGCATCTTTTTACCCCTAGCAAACAGAGTGAGGGATATATAGGATTATAAACATGCAGGTACATGTATATAAGAATCTCCTGGTCCATCTATCTGTTCTTCAATCCATTTGTCTGTGCAATGTTGTTCAATCTTGGCACAGTAACTGCTTATGAACTAAAACAGTGTCATTACCTTAACCTAAGGTCACATTGGAAGTTCAAGGTCACTGACATAAAAGTAAAAAATAAGTCCAAGGGGCATAACTCTGTCAAAAATGGCTAATTATAAATATGTATACCTTATTTCATTTCAGTAGGTATAACCTCTGTGAAGAAAATGAATGGAAACTGCAAATAATTGAAATTTTTCTCTAACACTAAGGCACATACCGTAACTCTGTCAAATATGTCTCCATTGTACTCAAAACAGAACTTGATCTAAATTAAGGTCACTAACAGAAAAGTAGAAAATAGTATTTAAAAGTATTAAAGAAATTGAATAACTCAAACCCCTTACTGTTTCATAGCCATATTGGCCAACTGTTCCATCAGCCTAAAAGTTTCACTACTGCGAAGAAGCATAGAGAACACATACTGAAAAATAATATTAAAACAATGATCATTATTCCTTATACCTGGTATATATTACAAGATTTTCATCCTAACTATCGGAATCCAATTTAACTATGTCACCAATATGATAATTGTCTTAGTCCATGGCTAACAGGTAAGTTTTAATCCGTAATCATTTTATTTCAACTTGAAATAAAGAAATTGACACAATTAATGTTCAATATTATTTCACAATATTTGCTAAGACACAGATATTTTGTTTTTTATTATTTTTATTTTTAAGAAAGATTTACCTCCCCTTCCCTAGTTGATACTTTGATACTTTCAGGAAAAAGCATGTTGTTGCCCTTCTCTAGTTTCTGTAAAAAGTAATCAGAAAGGCATGCACTAAAATTTGATAAAATGTGACTTCAGGAGAAGAAAGATAACTCTTTTAGATTTTATGTAATGCTCACAAAATGTAGACCTACCCAATCCAAAGTTTGAATGTAACTTTCATATCATCATAATTTTGAATACAAAGACAAGGACATTTCAATCTAATACAAATGCACGTATATTTTTACTGTACATCACTGGCAGATTTAGAGGGGGCAGAGGGGCCCGTCCTCCCTTTTGTGTCCAAAATATACATAAGATTTAATCTCTTTTTGTTGGTTGGGGGGGGGGACTGTGGGCATCTACCTTGACAAAATTGGTTACCCCCCTTTTCAAGATTTCTGGATCTGCCACTTTTTATATTGGTTAATAAATCATAAATAGCATAGAAATATCTTTAGTTTGACTTCGTACTAGCCTTTCAAAGTTGAAGCCAGACTTGTGTATCATTATTTAAAATTCTTACCAGTGTTTCAGAACACATTAAAAATCAGTCTACTTATGTGCCACGTTATATTGAAATTTGACCAAAACTGTAGGAGGAGGAATATTTTGAAAAATTGTTTACAGACAGACAACAGACATCTTACCAGCAAGAGCTAAAAATAAATTGACCTAAATGTTTAACTTACTGTAATATCTGTCCACCTTATGATGACCTTGGCCTCTTTCCCCATCAGGAAGGAGTAGAAACACAGGTGATTGACACTTAGGTACATCCAGCCCTGACGAGGTATATTATTCTTCCACAGGCTGCAGGAATATTCTGTTCACATACATAGTAAGAAATCTTTAAAATTTTTCAGGCATTTGTTAATCATTAAAAACATGCTGATATTGGCTTTTAAAGTATTTAACAAAATATACAAGCATAATTTAGCTTATTCAAGCAACAGTAAAATAATTCAGTAATATTTGAATAAGATTCAAGAAATTAGACTTTTAAAGTAAACATTTTGTTTTTAAGGAAAATTCACAAAAGAAATATAATTTCTTACGATTAACAAGTTTCTCTTCCCTTGGCATGTTAAACAACTTCATGAACTTCCGGGTTGAAGTTTTGTAATTCTGAGCCTCCTCATCTACAACTGAAAATATGTGTACTCCATTATCAATGTTAATAAATTAACCTTGACCTTATGCTATTTAAGTTTCAAAACAGTGTGTACTCCACCACAAATTGTTCAATTTGACCTTGACCTCATGCAGTGACCTACAGATATGTATATACATGTATTGTGAAACCAGCTTACACAAAACAATTTTCATATAAGATATTCTGCCTTGTTTTACTGTATTTAACCTTGAACTGGTTCCTTCACTAACCTTCCCCAGGCTTGTGCTCATGTGTGTACATGCTCTCTATCTTACACTTCACAAACTCAGTGGCATCCTCCTCATTTTCAAATGCACCTAAAAAACAAAACTCAGTGACATATGTAGTGAAATCATAGTAAAAATACACAACCCTTTATCTGAAAGTTTACCAAAGTATTTTTGACACTTGCCCTCTTTCACTAGTTCATGTCCCACCTATCCCCCATCTTTGTGTATTTCTACTTAACTAAACTGTGTCTCACACAACTTACCAAGTGTCTCCATCAGATTCTGTTCTATCCATTCCCAGTCTTTGTGTATTTCTACTTTGTTATTTGCTACTGCCACACCTGTGTTACAAAAAATTAAAAGATTTCTAGGTTTAGACAGATAACTGAAAGTATCATTACAGAGCGTTTAAAGAAAAATAAGTGAATGTATCCACTGCTCTGAATTACATGTAACTTCTTTATATCCATTTTTATGTATCAATTTAACTGTTCTCCCTAACAATGAATGTTCAATACTTACTATAGCTTATCTCTGAACCTGGGGTCTGGTGTAAAATTCTATATGGTGGAGTCTGAAAAAAGGTTCCAAAAGCATGAAAATAGAATTCTTAATATTTAATTGTCAATCAAATTTTACGGTATAAGTAGAGTTTTTAGCGAGGATTTAATTTTGGCATTATTAGCGAGGGTGCTAACAATGCTAAAATTGAATATCGCTAAAAATTAAATGTGTATTATTTGTAATAGCTTCTTTAGTTAGCATTTTAAAATCACTAAAATTACTTCTCGCTAAAAATAAGATACCAGATTTTAGATAGAAATCGCTAAATTTCTGTCTCGCTAAAATTTCCACTTATACGGTATTTGTACATTTACACTCAATGGTCAAATTTAAAATATATATCACTGATAAACCAAATGTCTCAATAGTAGAAAAGCAGAAACAGACAAGAGGTGTTTGTGAAACACTATGCGCCCAGTAGCAACAAAGTTCGAAAAAGCAATTTTTAGCAATAGGTCACAGTCAAGGTCACACGATCATTGTCCTTGGTGTCATTTGAAAGAACTTAATTAGTGGAATATGCATACCAAATATGAAGTCTCTTACCTCCTATGGTTCAGAAATAATGGCGAAAGTTCAAAAAAGCAATTTTAACATATAAGTCAATTTCACAGGTCACGAGTCAAGGTCACAAGGTCGCTGACCTTGGCGTTATTTGAAAGAGCTTAATTATCAGAGTAAGCATACCAAATATGAAGTCTCCATCTCCTATGGTTCAAAAGTAATGGCAAAAGATCGAAAAAGCTATTTTTAACGTATAGGTCACAATCAAAGTCACAAGGTCATTGACCTTGGTGTCAGCTGAAAGTGCTCCATTAGTGAAGTATGCATACCAAATATGAAGTCTCTATCTCTCACGGTTCAAAAGTTATGGCGAAGGTTAAAGTTGACAACAGACAGGCAAACAGATAAACAAACAGACAGACAGGACAAAAACAATACATGCTCTGAATCTATCGATTTGGGCGCATAAAAACAAAACTTCTCTTTTTAAAATGCCTTCGGCCTTCGAGTATAAATAGTAGGGTGAAATTTTTTTTCTTTTTTGTTGGTGGTACCCAAAATTTTATATAAAAATCTATAAAGTTAAACATTTACTGGTATTAAACAGTAACAAGACAATAGCCCATACTGACCTTGCTGTCTAACACTGTGTCCAGGGTCCCAACTAACAGTCCCGTGAGTCCACCCCCTCCATAACCCTTCCTCCTCTGAAGGACAAAGAAAGGGTTGGCCCTCTCTGTCACCCTGCAAAATTAAAGTAATGACTTAAATGCCTTTTAAATGGCATTTTTTAATGTGATTTGATGCATAATATACAATCAAGCATGTATTATACAAATGCTGACTGGGGTTAAGGGTTTAGGCATTAGTGACATCTGGTCCATAACTTTATTATTAATAGTAATAGTAAATTTAGCAACTATTAATTAAAAGTGCATCAGGTTTGATAGTTTAAATATTAAACAGGATTAAACATCATGTTTTCACAAGGATCACTTTATAATTGATCATCAATCGGAAAGGTTGTTGATTTTAGACAATAAAGCATTCCAAAAATGGAGCTATCTGACCAATGGTGATTGAACCCCTTCTGACTGGCACATTCCTCCCTCATAAAGGTCTTCGCCCCATGAAGATGACAACCCATGCTTGTGCACTCTTCCATCCCTGGCAGGTCTTTCACCTGTCACTTCCCGTGCAAGGTATGGCACAAAATATACCAGAGAGGAGAAAAAAGTGACAGGACAGAAATGGATTCGAAAAAGAAAAATGTAAACAACTTTAAAAACTTGTGGCCTCATGGTCTCTTCTTATAAAGAGGAAGGAAATAATACCTCCCCCCCTTTACACTGACTATTTTTTTTTCTTCTCAGGGGCGTTAAGAAATGTAAAGGCAACCAAAACGACCTATAGCATAGAAACAACCCATACTAGAGATATCTTTATAAAAATCTAGTGCTACTATGAGATTGTTAGGGAGAGAGAGTGCAACTTTAAATCGGCTTTAAATCTTATTGTCATTTCCTGTTCATTCCAATTCTAAAACAGGAGCATTTAATTTTTAGTTACCACAGTGCATTGGCTAATAAAACTTCCTCCGGTTTGACCCACATTCTTTTAGTCGATTTAATTCATGCTAAAGCTGAGACAAATACGTTTTTTTCATCAGATGTCCACGATTGCAGAATCGTCAGCTGACTGCCATGTTTGTTTACGTTTTATGTGTTTGACTGGTTCCCATTTTTAAAAGTAAACAAATTTTCAATCTTAAATTTAGGATCGCTTTTTCTTTGACCGTCAGCAACAAATTTTCGGGAAAAGTTTCACAGAAAATGTAAATTTTGATTAATATTTTTCTATATTTGTTAGATCGTACGAAAATCTAAAATGCTATTTACCAATATGCTTTATTTTGTTAGAGATTCTTATCAGTTAAAATAGATATACACTTTTTAAACTTTATTACTGTAATAGTATTTTTTATTAATGAATATAAATATTGAAAATGTTCTTTCAAACCGAATAGTTTTACGTACAATTGTCATAAATTCAAACTGAAAGTAGACGTTAAAAAATTGCGTAAGGTAAAAAATTATGTTTCTTCAGATTGTAACCAAATTCATGAATATATTTAAACTACTGAAATTAACATGAGTTAATAATAGGTTTTACGTTTTATCAATGTTTGTATTGGGCAGTTTGCCTTTACCGGTACTGTCCTTGTGTTTCTACTTGTTTCAAGTTATTTAGAGGATCCGTTTACCCAGGGTTTCGGCCTGATTCTCGTTGCCCTATTGGTTTACCCCTTCGCCTTATATCCCGTTAGCATATTACAATCTATATTTATGCATTTCTGTAGATTTTGTTAAAATTCATTTCTTAATTTAATTTTTTTGGATGGGTGGGGGGTCTTAGTATTACGAAAGCCGGATAGACTCAATTTCGCAAGATAAAAAAAAAATATTTTAAATTGTTATAACGAGATAATTATCTTATTATATCAAGTTAATTATCTCGTAAATAACAGGTTAGTTATCTCATTAAAAGGATAAAAATATCCTGTTATAACGTCCTAGGAGGTGTTCACGTTGTGCACCTAAAAATTTGCTGTACTTGTCAAATTGTGATTATAGATAGTTTTCGATTGACCAAGAGTTACTTCCCGTTGGTCGCCATACTGGAGGTCCAAACGCTCATATTCCTTCATTGTTCAACCAATTTAAAATTTTTATATTTGCTATTCTGAATTAGAAATCATTATTTTTCTGAAGTATATAAAGTTTTGGAAGCCTCCTTTATTTAAAAAAAATTATTTGATAAAGATTTTCCACCAAATAGTTCTGCTATAGTTTCTTAAACTTGGTAAGACAAAGAGGGAAAATCACTGACACCAAGTCGACCTCCAATATGGCGGCCAACGGGAGGTAACTTTCGCTAAATTCAGGCCTATCGAAAACTATCTATTGACAGGTAGATAATTCAAGACGTAACTTTTCATGAAACAATTTTCATTTTATGCATCTCAATGTGTCTCAATATTATTAAAAAATATTTCAAAGTTTTGATAAGGTATTTTAAAAAGTTGATATTTGTAAATGTTGTCAATCTAATTAAAATTAGATCCTTTACACTCCTTGTATTTTGTTATTTCGCTCTAAGGCGACATAACAAAATACAAGGAGCGTAAAGGATCTAATTTTAATTAGATTGCAAATGTTGTACACCATAGAAGTATTTAAAAAATACACATTTTCTTTAATCTAGCCTAAGACAATAAAGTTTATACTTCATAAGTTTATACTTAGTATCTAAGATACTAAAAAATATAAGTTTTTAAATTTTGCATTTATATCGATAGTTTGAAAAGTTATATAACATCAAAAATCAATCTCTGAGGATTGACAATGTCCAAATGAATTCACACTGGCTATGCTTATAATTGACAGGTGAAGTCAGAACATTTCTCAGCTTCGACAACATATCAGTATGAATTTACTCCTCATACTATATTTTGTTAAATTGTGTTTTAGTAATGGGATTAAATTCTTCACGTCTGCCAACAACGTTATCTCACCCTCAAGCCAAGTTAGTTCAGCAAGCCATCTCACAAAACTGTGTGGTTATCTTCTCCAAGACAACATGCCCTTTTTGTGTGCAGACCAAGGAGATCTTCAGAAACCTTGGGATACCCTACGAAGCCATGGAGCTGAACCATCATCCTGAGGGTCCACATATACAGAACTACCTGGCAGATATCACACAGGCTAGAACGGTTAGTGTGAAGCTCAGCATTCAATGATTTAAATAGGCAGGATTGAAATTGCATTTATTAATATTGTTTTACGTACATTGTATACCTTCACTTCTGTCAATTATGTAAGTAATCTGTAATTTATTTGAACAACTACATGTATGAAGATATCTAAAATTTATACTTTGTAAAATTTACTCATGTAAATAGCCAAACAATTTAAACCTTTTAAAAGATGCAATATTTAACAAGTGAAAAATCAAGGTGTTAACAAAGTTTTGGTGTACAAATGCATCTCTGTGATGCTGAATTGCTGGTGATGAGAATGTGTATTTTTTCTAATTTTCCACAAAGATGACCATTTCCTTTTATTCTTTATAAGGTACCCAGAGTTTTTATCAATGGAACCTGTATTGGTGGGGCAAGTGAAACAAAGTCTCTTCATAAATCAGGACAACTCCTAGAACTAGTGAGCAAGTGCCATACCCATCAAGTGGAACAAGTTAGGAAATGATTTTTACAGACTAGTTAATTCATTTTGTTGAATATTTATATACATATATATTGTTGTAATTTGTATAATTTTTTATAGCTCTTGCAAGATGAAAATAAACATATGAAATAAAAGCATCTTGATAGTGTATAATCTGTTTAAAGTAATTTTTTTCTTTGACAGAACAAACAGCTTGTCAAACAAACCATTCTATGTACCAGTAAATGTATTTACAGGGTATGTTAGCTATTTAAGGGCATGTAAGCATTTTACAGGGTTATGTAGATATTTACAGGGTATAATAACTATTTATAAGGTTTGAAGGCTTTAAACATGGTATGATGGCTATTTTCAATGTACCGTATAAGGAGAAATTTTAGCGAGGATTTAATTTTGGCATTATTAGCGAGAGTGCCAAGATCGCTAAAATTGAATATCGCTAAAAATTAATTGTGCTTTATTTGTAATAGCTTCTTTAGTGAGCTTTTTAAAATCACTAAAATTTCATCTCGCTAAAAATAAAATACTAATTTAATTGACAAATCGCTAAATTTGCATCTCGCTAAAAATTCCACTTATACAGTATGTTGACTATTTACAGGGTATGATATAACTCTTTAGTAGTTATGGGGTGCAATGGCAAATTGGCAAGGTATAGTGTTTATTTATACATGTCTCATACAAGAGATTGATGGCTATTTATAGGGTAATATGGTCATATTAAGGGTATGATGGCAATTTACATGGTATGATGGCTATTCACAGGGTCATCTTCGCTAGCCAAGGGGGACGATCCACTCCTCTCCTCTTTTTTTGAAAAGAAGAGAGGAGCGGATCATCACCCTTGGCTAGCAAAGATGGTCTGCTAGGGCATGTTTGACTGTCATATATCCTGGCACTTTTAAGAACAATTTTTTTTAAAAGGGAGAGGTTAATTGTTGAAAACTATTGAAACTATACTCAAGTTCTATTTTTAAAATGTAAGAAAGTAAAACTATCAAACTAGCTTTGTCAAGTTGTGGTGAGTGATGATGAGCAATGCTGGGAAATCGTACACACTCAGCAAAACCATTAACTATAACAATAACAGGGTATTTGTTGTAAGGTTATAACAAATGTGGTTGTCATTTAGCTCTTTCACTTGAATTCAAGAGAAACAAAAATCCTTTAATGTGTTAAACAAAACAACAATGCAAGGGTGTCCATGCCTCTTTAGTCTTTTAACTTACAGATAATCAGATGTAGCAAGGAATAACAAGAGGCCCATGGGCCACATCGATCACCTGAGCACTGTGGCTAGGAAAAAGCAGATATTAGTTCATTATTGAAAAGTTAAAACCCAAAAAGGGAGAGGGTATGATTTGCACAAACTTGAATCTACACTACCTGAAAATGCTTCCATATTAATATGACTAATCATAGCTTTGTTATTCTTGAGAAAAAATTTTAAAGAATTTTTCTATACATTTCTATGTAAAATTTTGGTCGGCCATTGTGGCCCTGCCCTACCCCCGGGGGTCATGATTTGAACAAACTTGAATCTACGCTACCTGAGGATTCTTCCAAATAAATATGATGAATCATGGCTTTGGTCGGCCATTGTGACCCCACCCTATCCCCCGAGGTCATGATTTGAATAAATTTGAATCTACACTACCTGAGGATGCTTCCATATAAATATGATGAATCATGGCTTTGCTATTCTTCAGAAGATTTTTAAAGACTATTCCTTTATATTTCTATGTAAAACTTTGGTCGGCCATTGTGGCCCCACCCTACCCCCGGGGGGTCATGATTTGAACAAACTTGAATCTACACTACCTGAGGATGCTTCCATATAAATATGATCAATCATGGCTTTGTTATTCTTGAGAAGAAAATTTTTCAGAATTTTCCTATATATTTCTTTGTTAAACTTTGGTCGGCCATTGTGGCCCTGCCCTACCCCCAGGGGTCATGACTGGCACAAACTAGAATCTACATGTACACTACCTGAGGATTCTTCCAAATAAATATGATGAATCATGGCTTTGCTATTCTTCAGAAGATTTTTAAAGACTATTCCTTTATATTTCTATGTAAAACTTTGGTAGGCCATTGTGGCCCCACCCTATCCCCCTTGGGGTCATGATTTGAACAACCTTGAATCTACACTACCTGAGGATGTTCCTTATAAGTTTTATCTTTCCTGGCACAGTGGTTCTTGGGAAGATTTTTAAAACATGCTACCAAAATTTTCACTATTTCTGAATTATCTCCCCTTGAATGAATGCGTGGCCCTTCATTTGAACAAACTTGAATCCTCTTTACCCAAGAATACTTTGTGGCAAGTTTGGTTGAAATTGGCCCAGTGGTTCCAGAGAAGAAGTCAAAAATGTGAAAAGTTTACAGACAGACGGACGCCGGACAAAATGTGATCAGAAAAGCTCACATGCGCTTTCATCTCAGGTGAGCTAAAAAGGTTGAACATCTTAGGTAAAGAGATATGGTTTTAATTGCTTTAATATCTTTCATTTGTTCGTAAACCAAATGCATTCTTCGAAGGTCAAACGCCAATAAGACCTTAGCTTCCATTGCCTATAGCAGTTAAATCGTGGTATTCAACTGCATTTAGATGAGGTATCGTACGTAAAACAAAGGGCATTATTAATGATCTATTCGATCCCCAGAGACTTGGCTTTCTCTCTATCCCATGTAATGAAGTAGTTTGAGCCAGGGTTCATTTTTCATTGTTAATTATTCTCAACTTGTAGAAGTAAAATTTATACCCGGGTCATCTTTCAAAGGCTTAGATTTTCTTTGCAATTAAGGCATCTATGCGGTTAAAAATGGCCCCATGGATTTATTGTCCCTAACTACATAGTTTTTCCCTGTATGTCATCTGGAAGTTGTAACACATGTATGTAGACGTATCTACTAATATATCTCTTAGATTCAGAATTTGTTTTCTAGAATAAAAATGAGATTGGACTGAAATCAGTAACCATAGCACTCTGAATATATCTCGTAAAATCATTGTTGTTCAACACACGGTATATCTTATTTCCTGGTCATCTCCGACAAAAGCTGCTGTAAAGATGGATCATGCTAGAATGACCCCTCTTTACATGGCCCATTTACATCCATTGAATATTTTTTTCCTTTATTTCTTACGAAGACCTTTGTCATTAGTCAGTGCATCAACGACACTAAGCAAGTCACGTGCAAAGGTTTCTTGAACAATGGCTATTCCATCGGTTATGCATTGAATGACATATTCATCTAAAATACATTAACATATTTAATTTTACTTTGAATGTTTTTTTTCAAACAGATGTAAATATAAACCATAAAACTTTTGTCTTTGTTGGTACGGGGATTAACTTTGCATCCATTGCAGAACAAAAACAAAAATTATATGCATTTTTTCTGCAACAGCTGCGACATTAATTCCTCTACTAACAACCAAAGGAGGATATTTTATTATTTAAGTAAACAGCTTAATGGGGACCCTCCTTAACTTGTACAAATTCAAGATGTAAAGTTTCAAAGAAAAACTAAACAGAACTAAAATTTTCACCTGAAAACCATGTGGGCATTATATAAATAGCTGACTATATATTCTTTGATGTTCACTCATTGGAAGTTATGTTAGAGCATTTAATTGTTAAAAATCAAATTAAAACTAAACTAATGGGGTGAAATCGTTTTTGTTTTTTTTTGTTTTTTTTGCATTGTATGAATAATTAAGGGAACTTGCCCTATGGCCCTAAAAATGAAAGGATTCTTCTTTCATTCATTAGCAGTCATACGAAATATTGAAATATAGAACAGTAATCAAGGTCAAAGGTCCATTGAATCAATACAAATCGGGAGCGGATCAAACATGGACCTCTAGAAATATCATAGGTGGGATCAGGTACCATGAAAGAGTAAGCATCTCCAGTGGACAGTTCACTTCCACCGTGTGCTTCTTGTCGATCGACCAAACGGGAAAATCTGTAGCAATTCAGTATGTAAATTTTCATGGCAGAACAATTAGTAGGAAAAACAACCGTCAGCAGTTAACTAATTGGAAGATTGTTTTTGCTGACAAGGTCATTGTAAAGACCGTAGAACTTGCGAATTGTTGACTTTAAACAAGTTTGTTGATACCCTTGTTTCATCAACTTGTTTCTCAATTGCTTGTCTCGTTTTAGAATTTTTTTGGTACATAGAGCATGCTCTTCAGTATTGTGTATCGAATCAACTGGAAAAATTAAGTCCAAGATAAAACTTTTCATAAAAAAATCTCAAGCTATCCTCAGGAAACAAATTTTGAATTGAAGATATCTTCTATAATTTGAATCGATTTTTAATGGAATTGGTGCAAAGAATTGATCTGTCTTCGGGTATGGTTACTTGACTGGTATGAAGCTAATTGGATATGATTAGTATCGGTATGATCCAATATGTTCATTCTTTGGCCTGTATGTGATTGCGTGTGAGTGTATCTTTTCTGGAAGTCATTATGGATGATATACTTATATTTAAACAGATAGGGTAGAGAATGTTTCAAAACCTGTAGCCTGCATTTCATGCACTTTATAATCCTGTCTTAATTATACATGTAGCTATTGATTCAGCATTTTCATAATCATGCATACAATGCTGTTGCCTAATTATCTTATAACCCTATTCCCACAGCAATGGCAGAATAATTTGATCCAGGTAGCGTGAATTCTCTGAAGTATTTTTCAATGGGTTTTCCGGCTCCATTTAAAAAACTTTCAACGTAACTCATGTTTTTGTTATGAATTCATTTTTCCATCATCAGTAGTAAATACAATGAAAAATAGACGATGCTTCAGCGGACTATTTATTTAGCTCTGAAATTGGGCATTTCCGTTGAAGGTCCTCTGTATTTGTGACACTGTATAATGCATAAAAACAGATTTGGTTGCAGAATACAAAACCCGCGTAAGTGGGTTATGTAATTTTTTCTGCAATAGCTGCGACGTTAATTCGCGAACGAACATCCAAAGAAAGTCATTTTATTGTGTTTTTTTTTTAATTTTTACATGTGTATAAATCATTCAAAGTAAAATTAAATATGTTCAATATTGTACTATAGACGTATGTGTAATTTTGTGCATAACTGATAACTGATGGAACAGTCATTGCTCAAGAATTCTATGCAGAAGGCTTGCTTAGTGTCATTTATGAACTGATTAACGGTAATGGTTTTGATAATATTATGTGGTTTTTGGAGATCAGGTCTTCCAACAATCTATTGGATTTCCCATGGGTACCAATTGCGCCCTGTTATTAGCAGACGTATTTTGTATTCATTTGAAGCAGAATTTGTTCAACATTTTATACGTGAAATGAAGAAAACACTTGCTGTGGCCTTCAACTCGACATTTGGATATATCGAAAAAGTACTGTCAAGTAAAAATGTTTATTTCCATTCTTACGTCGATACGATGTATCCAGGTACTACAGAGTCTGACACATCTGTTTCATATTGAGATATTTTACTTGAAAAAGACATTACTAGTAATGGTAATCTACCAACCAAGCTCTCTGATAAGCGTATGACTTTAACCTTTCACTCGTTAACTTACATGTACCTTATGCAGCAATTAACATATTTATCTTCAACTACATACGGGCTTTATATTTCTTACAGTTGATTCGATACGCAAGAGTATGCTCTACGTTTGAACAACTCCATCATCGAGGTAGGTTATTCATAAAAAAAGTTGATGAAACTAGAATATCAAGAGTCTTGTTTAAAGTCATCATTTTGTAAGTTCTATGGTCGATACAATGACCTTGTCAGCAAATACATGCAATTTAAACACTGAGTCAAATGCTGACTGACGTTTTTCATACTAATTGTTAGGTCATTATTTTACATATCGAATTTTTGACGGATTTTTCCGTACTTTCCCGATCATGACAAAGAGCACCCGGCGAGTGTGACCGGTCAACAGGGGATGCCCAATCCTCCATGGGACCCGATTCCACCTCTGATGTTTCGGAGGTTCGTGATTGCTCTGCTCAAAAGTATTGTATATGGAATTTTTGAGCTGTAAACTGTTCGTTATCTCCAAATATTTTATGAATATACTTAAAAATAATTATAAAGATATTAATTTTCATATTGATCATTCATTTGAATATCTTTGTGAAAAAAAATCCCTAAAGAGACTAGTGCTGTAGAATCAGCGCAGCCAGTCTTTGAAGATTTCAACACACCGATTGCCATTTCCTGAAAAGTCTGGAATTCAAATTCCTCCTTTACGTATCATTGACTAAAATGCACTCAGAGCTTTTACCCGCTGTTACCTGCTTCGATTAGTGATTATTTCTTATTATAAATAAATTATCTTATAGTTCCATTGAGATTAGGAATTGTAGAGGATCTTAATTGACCTTTGCGGATATTTCACTAGTCGACTGGCTAAAGATGAAAATTTAAGTGCGGGTTAAGGTCGATTCTTGTAAATGAATTATATATTTAGATTTAATTTTACCATTACTAATGAACGTGAACTAGTTTATTTAAAGTTTATTATCATGACGCATAAGTCATTATTACAATTTTTCGGTAATAATTATAGAATTCTTATTAACTTTCAAAATAAGCTGTTTTAAAATATAATTCTTAAACAAATATTGCGTTTTTTAGGCATAACAGACACCATTTGTATAGCCAAATACAATTCTGCATAATTATATAAAAAACAAAATCTAGATATAAAATTGTTTTTTATAATCATGTTATACTCGTTACTAAGGAAGCGTACATGTATTAGTGTACTTAATTTTTTCAAAATTGGAAAGTCCTACTTGAAAGTTTGTTAGTCTAATTTTAATGTTGACTTTTCCAAAGTACATGTACATATACTTCTGAATTCTTAGACTAGAATCGTTTTTCTACTACAAAAAGAATGTGTTTTCCTTTTTACAGAAAATAAAATAAATGCCTTTTTTCAAATTTATCAGATTTTTTTTCTCTGCTGGATATGGAAATGTACAATGTAACAGTAAGACTAATCGATAGAAATGCCCATCTTTTAAATTATGATAATGTGTTTAGCTCTGTGGATTAAAGTAAAGCCACGCCTTTTCAAGTCATAGGATATTTTTATGTTATAATCACAAAGGGCTTTGTCTAGAAGCAATTGCTTAAATTTGGTTTCGATGAAACATCTATAATTCCAGATGCTGTGAACTTCAATAATACAAACTTTTGGATAGTGTTGGAAAATAAAATGAAACGAATTTGTACAGCGCAATTCATTTCCGTCCTTTTGTTTTGGATAACAACGAATTCAGAATATATAACAACTTATTTTTCTTATCAAGGATTCATTTCAGAGGCAGATGATGTTTGCGTTTTTAACAAATTAAATCCTCTTAGTGGATCTGAATTTGTATGTGCTTTATATTGTGGGAGGGACTTTCTTTGTAATGCATTTGACGAATGTTACATCAATGGTCAACTTGCCTGTCACCTTCGTTATGGAAAAGTGACCAATTTTTCCACTGCTTCTCCAAGTTGTACACACTATGAGATCCAATCGGTAAGACTTCATAGTTGTTTTTTGTTTTAATTAAATTTTTGGTAAATTGAACTTTGGTATTTATTTAAGAAAAAAGAGGACATTGTTTGCTTATCAAACATCAACTTAATTTGTTTATTAAAAAATGGAGATACCTGATTTCACTGGATTTTTTTTCTTATATCAATCATTCAAATTCAGAATTTTTCAGAACGTCTTTTACCAAGAATTGATGCTTAAATGACTTTTGCCGGAATAATATGAGAAACTACCCCTATTTGCGTGGCTATGCACCCTTCTAAAACAATGTCTGCATATGGGTTTTATGTCTCCTAGAAGATTCAATAAATTGAATATTTTCCCTGGATACAATTTCGAAAACGAGGTATCCAGCTATTTGACAAGCAAATTATATTCAATTCTAAAAGCAATCATTTCACAAATTCTATGGTCAATACAATGAACTTGTCAGCAAGTACAATCTATCATTAAGTCAAATACTTGCTGACGTTTTTCACACTAATTGTAAGACTAATATTTACACCCTGAATTGTCTACGGGTTTTTCATTTGCCGTGCGATCATGTCAGGGAGCACATGATGACTGTGGTACTTTCTACTGCATGGCACCTGATCCCTCCTCTGATGATAAAGAGGTCCTCTGCTACTGATCTGATTGGCTTGAATATACTTATGAGTTTGAATACTGTTTATTTTCTCCTATTTCATCTTATCCTTATTAAACAATGAAAACAGGTACACGTAAAATATTTTTGTAATCAATATAGACCAAAATCTACGTAGACATTTCGGTTCTTGGGTCCGACAAAACACATTTTGTCCTCGAACTCAGTCAATAAAATAAAGTATAATGTTTTTTTAATTTTAAAATCTCTATGCAAAAACGTTCGTAGAAAAAAAAGAATTTTATCAATTTATCTTATTAATTAATAAAAAGTCATTGATATACCTAAATTTATTTGAAGGCCATAGAAGAATATTTCATTCCACATAAAAGTTTTTAGAATAAATTTTGCTTCATTAAAATACACAACAAATATCCCTATTAACGGGTGAGCAATTTTTACCCCTGAAATTCCAACGGATTAATTGTTGGAAAAATAATTAATAGATTGTTTTGGAATCACTAATTTCATTATTTTTTCCGGGTACTTATTTTGAGAAAATGACGAATTTATTTGTTACTTTATCTGTTTTTCAAGGCAGATGCAAAGCTAGACTAAAGAAGCTAGACGCAAGATTCTACTCTGATCAGTGGTCTGGGGTCATCATTAATTAATGTGGAATGCATGCATTCAATCAAATCCGTCAATGTCTATATGAACTATTACATGTCTAATATTATAATAATATTATAATAAATTTCTATAGCGACCTTTATAATAAAAAAAATATCACCCTAAGGCGCTTTACATTGAATGTGCATAAAATATTGCAATATTTAACGTTACTTTAAAAAAAAAATTAGACCTTATGCTGAAAATGTCTTGTTTTGGCAAAAACAAAAATACAGTTGCAATGAATTAAAAATCTAGTGGTTAAAAAAAAAATTAAAAATCAATAGATAGATAAATCTAAAAAAGTAAATCAAAAAGTCTTTACCTTGTGAGAATTTGACTTGAGACAACAGAAATTAAGGTTGCTAATTAGTGATTTAAAAACTTTAAATTCTCTGTAGAAAAGAAATATATTCTTTTCAGGAAGCGTATTAGTGCCATGCAATATTTCTTTAAAGTTGGTACTAGTAATTCCAACTTTAATCTTGGCTTTTCCAACTTTAAAGTTGGTAATTCCAACTGTAATCTTGGCTTTTCCAGGTTTTACGGCTTTATGTATTATATTGTCTGAGATACTTTGTAGCTTAATCGTGTTACCGTTTTATACATGTAATTAAAATGGAAAGATACAATCTTATTATGAAACGATGATTTTAGAAGGAATTATTTTATTGTGCATGACCGTATAGGAGCCGGAGGGAGTTGCATTGGGGCGCCACCCCCAATAATGCAATAATTTACAGACATACAGTTGGTTGTTGATAGTGCCCCAAACTGAAAATAATATGTTCCACATACAGAATTGATACATTTAGTACTGATGAGTTTGTGGCATGTAATGTAGTGTTTGATTAATCCTATATCTAAAATACCTAATACGGTCTCATTTTTAAAGCTTAATAAATATCCGAACTCTTAAAAATGTTAGGATAAAATTCTATCATGTACGGAGTTGACTGAAAGTCACTTTATACGAGGGATATATGTATTTTTTCCTGCACATTAAGATTGCACAAACAAGTACTCTGAAGTTCACATCAAAGAGATGCTTGAGTTTCTGATTGATAATATCTATGTGGATTTTGGAGACCAGGTATTCCAACAATCTATTGGAATTCCCATGGGTACCAATTGCGCTCAGTTATTAGCAGACCTATTTTTATATTCATATGAAGTAGAATTTGTGCAAAATCTTATGCGTGAAAAGAGGAAAACACTTGCTGTGGCCTTCAACTCGACATTTAGATATATCGACGACGTATTGTCAATTAACAATGGTAATTTCCATTACGATATATCCTGATGAGTTTGAGATAAAAGATACCACGATATATCCTGATGAGTTTGAGATAAAAGATACCACAGAGTCTGACACATCTGTTTCATACTTGGATATTTTACTTGAAAAAGACGTCATTGTTAATCTAACAACCAAGCTATATGATAAACCTGATGATTTAACCTGTCTATCGTCAATTTCCCTTACTTATGCAGCAATATACCCTCATCATCTGCATACGGAGTCTATATATCTCAGATGATTCGATACACAAAAGCATGCTCTACGTATGATCAATTTCTAAAACAAGGTAAATTATTGACAAGCAAGTTGATTAAACAAGAATATCAACAGTCTCGTTTAAAGTCATCATTTCGTAAGTTTTATGATCGATACAATGACCTTGTCAGCAAATACAATTTATCATTGAGTCAAATGCTGACTGACGTTTTTCATACTAATTGTTAGTCCATTATTTATACACTGAATTGTATCTGCAGAACTGTAGCGTTATGGATTTTATATTAGTCTTTGACCATAACGCTACAAATCCCGTAATGCAAAAAAGGTGCAATTTACGGCGCAAGATTTCTTTGCACTTTTGGGGAGAATTTCTCCACTTTCCAGCATTGGACATTCAACTACCTTTCACTCCCTAATTCTAGACACATAGTGTAACAAGTTTGTATATTTTATCCACCTCCCAATCCCTTATACGAGGGACGTTCAATAAATAATGTCATTAGCTCGATGACATACAACATAGAAATCATATGACATTAAGCTAGACTTTCTCTCATTATTGAATCTTTAATGAATTAATAACAGTTTATGTGACCACTTTTCATCACATAGTTTAATCGTGAGAAGCTTGGAAACAAGGGCTATTCGAGACACTGCATTATAAATGAAAGGTAAAGAATCAGTAAACTAGAGTGAAAACTAGAGCAAAGCTCGTTGCAAAGCAACGAGTAGGTCTTCCGTCCTGTTTGACCGGAAGTAGCTTTCATTTTTAACAAAAATGAGAAATAACGCCCAAAAATGGTTTGAATCATCTAAAGCTATGTTAATAAATGCAAAAATTAGCCATTTTTTGCTACTTCCGGTTTGACCGGAAGTGACGACGACGGACGGAAAATTAACTTTTTTGCTCTCAGAGACATATGTTATCTAAAAACTTGTCAAGAACTACAACAATACGCGTTTTCCGATTACTTCCGATTTGGCCGGAAGTGACGACGTAGGACGTATTTTGACGACGCCAAAAGATTAAACCTAACATTTTGAACAACTTTGCTTCTTTGACGTATTAGAAATTCTCAATACGTTTTGAGATATAAAGAAAAAACTTTGGGCCCCTTTAGGCCCTTAATTTTAGGGGCCAACCCTTTTTTTGACATATCATTTGAAAGATCTTGGAATTCTACACTTCTTTTGTTCTATATGTTTTAACAAAATATTTTCAGGTAAAAAGATATCGTAGAAAAGGTGGTAAAAATTTTGAAATTCGAGATAGGAGCATTTCCGGGCCATAGCGAGCGCCGACGTGCGGCACTTTTGATAAAAATGAAATACATTTTGCACATCTACAGACTTAGGACTATAATACCTGAAATTTGCACGTTTCTATCTATAGCCATTTTTTAGAACATTCGCGGACAACCTGACACTTCAAAAATCATAAAATCGACAATATTTCCGGACTGGAAGTGACGTATTCAAAACGGAAAAAAATGAATCAAGTTCACGTAATGTTACATAAGTCCTGAAAGTTTCATTAAAATCCATCGAGCCGTTTTCGAGAAATCGCGTGCACAAAATCGGTAAGAAAAAAAAAGAATAATAATAGGTAAGAAAAATCCCAAAGAATTTTATGTTCCTTAGTTTTCCTGCCACAACGACTGAGCTTGTTTTTTGATGAAACAGGCAAAAACAAATAACATCATGTTGAAGTGAAATATGTCATTTATTAAGGTAAATGACGGAAAAGTAAAACACAGTTAACAAAATGGGGGTCAGAAAAAGGAGGACTGAAATATAGAGTATTACACATCTTAGTCAAAATATTACACAATCTGACCCCCAGCACCATAATGACATTGTAACATGATGTACATAGGCAAAAGGGGGGTCAACCAGACTAGAATAATAATTCAAACCCTGTAATCTTTCACAAGGTTCAATGTACATGCATTTTAAGTTGACCCCCTTATAAACATCATACGTTTGGAAGACATAAACAAAATGCTCTAAACTGCTGCCTGCCATCAAAAAAGGTGGGAAAACAAAATAACAAACAGTCAAAGCAAAACAATTGCGTAGGCATTAAATTGACCACAGCTATGTTTCTCTCACCGCTGAGGAAAAACCATGTATAAAAAGCAACACTGCTTTATGTTGAAAAATCATATGGAATCCTGCAGACCGAAGCAAAATTGCGAGGTACACAAAATAAATGTCAGACTCATTCTCAGTAACCTAATACATGGATTTGCCATTTATTACAAAGTACAAAAAATTTTACTTGCTCAGTTAGAACGTGCGCAGAAAATTAGTACTATAAATCTCTTTTAAACCCATTCGAATACTATCAAAAAAGATGGGTAAAACATAACAACAAAATTGTCAACCTGAAAGAAATAACAAGCATTGGTGGCAGATGGGGTGGGTGGTAGGTTCGAAAAATTCAGCAGTTCAATAAACCATGCTTTCTCTTTTGGTAAACGGATCAGTAATGATCACGTGATGGATAAGAGCTTTGCTGATTGGTTGAACCCATATTTAGATGTAGGAAAAGGGGTAAAATTAGTTCAATAAAAAGAACCTAATAGCTGCTTAGTGTAAAGCTATATACAATACAGACACTGTTATATAATAACATAATAAAACAAGAACATGTCACATAAATGAAATTTTTTGCAATAATTACTATTTTTCACTGAAATATGTGACATTTACAGCAACCAATGCCTGTTTTATAGACAAATGAGCAGGTGGATTTCAATAATAAAAAAATTATATAATGGGCATCAAAAATGGGTACCGTCCTTGCCAACAAAAATTATAACAACTTATGTACTATTTGTCCAATTTCAACAAATGATATCTGATGATGTATGACTGACTTTAAGATACATAGCAAATTTGATATACATCATATCGGGAGTAGTTTACAATGTTTTTAAGAAACGTTTGACGGTAAAAAAGCTTGGAACTCAAAGATCACCCTATATTTTGAAAAATGAGTGAAAAGACAGCATGTAGGAATGTCTTAACAACTATTTTAAAATATCAGTAACTGCAGTTATCCAAGTTTGTTTCATATTCAAACAGATAATGGAACATGAATCTATTGCTTAAAACACTCAATTTAAAATTTACCATAAAATGTACTTGATAAAAACAGCAATGGTCCGACAAGAGCAAAGGTATGCAAGAACACAAAGACAGATTTACATGCAATGTTCTTAAATATTAGTGGTACTGTTGTTCAATTTCGTATTCGGGGAGACAGTTTAATTTTTGGAGGAGTCTAGAAACCAATTTTTTTGCAAAAAAAAAAATCGAAAGGTTTACTAGAGGAAGGACCTAGAATCAGGAATCCACTACATTAAATTTCTTCATTACAGCGTTCAAACCCTGCACCCCTGAAGAGTAAAGGGGGTTTCGGGATAAAAAGAAAGTTAATATTTTTTCACATTAACAATATTCGCTAGATATTTTACCTTTTGACTTGTTTCTAATTCCAAACTTGAAAAACCACCTTTCAGAAAGAAAAAAACAAGTCCAGGAAATCATTGGATCTGCTTATTTTCCAGTATATTAAGGGTCATACCCAAAAAAGTGTTCTAAATATAATCAGAAATTAAATAAAAAATTTAACGGACAGCTATTTTAATCAAAAGAGATTAATAAGTAAAATCATGAAGACTTAATCATTAAAAAGCGTCTTTTGCTTCTTTCCGAGCCCCGATGACATTAATTATTGAACGTCCCTCGTAGTCGTCTCTACAGGCGATAAACTCGCTTGAAGTGAATTTCAAGCAATCCACAAATAATTTTAATGAAGCGAGTATATCACTCGTAGAGACGACTTTAAAGGGTAATGAGGTGAATGAATATATGCAAACTGGTTACAGAATGTGTCTAGAATAAGGGAGTAAAAGGTAGTTGATTGACCAATGCTGGAAAATAGGAAATTATCCCCAAAAGTGCGCAAAAAAGGTGCAATCGTAAATTGCACCCTTTTTGCATTAAGGGATCTGTAGCGTTATGGTCAAAGACTAATATATAAAACCATAACGCTTCAGTTCTGCAGCTAACTGAATTGACGACGGATTTTCCCGTTATTTCCCGATCATGACAAGGAGCACACGGCGGGTGTGACCGGTCAGCAGGGGATTCTCACTCCTCCATGGCACCTGATCCCACCTCTGATATTTCGGAGGTCCGTGCTTGCTCTGCTCCTATTTTGTATTGTTTATGGACTTTGAAATTGAATTCTGTTCGTTAAACCCCCATACCTTTCCTGCATCAGCTGCGACATTAATTCCCGTACTATCAACAAAGAAAGCATTTTATTGTTTAACATAACTTGAAAAAATTAACATAAAATAGGATCCTACAGCAGCCATTACATACATTTATTTTTAATAAATAAAAATTTATAATTAAGTTAATTAATAAAAAAAAAAAAAAACACTGAACTCGTAATTATATTAGAGGACCAAAAAAAATATACGGATTTCTAATTAAAAGTTGGAACTTATATGTACGGCGCCGCTGGTGGGCCAAGAAAAATATTATTTTTTTTTGTTCGGAATAATTAGAAATTTGTTCGATCAAATAAGTTATTTGTTCGGACGAATTAGATATTCGTTCGGACGAATAAGTAATTAGTTCGGACGAATTAGAAAAAACGGATGTTTGCGACCGATAAATCAGCATTAAAGGTCGCAAATACCAAATTAGAAGACCAGTTATTCCCATTCTAATGCAATCCATACATTTTGTTTGTTGTTTTCGTCTTATTTTGTCGAATATTGTTATATAAAATACGTCACGGGGCATTGTTTTTGCGTCGCTCTATTATTACGTCACAATGTAAAGCTTTCACTCTCGTTAATCCTCGTTTTTCTGCTTCAAACACAAGTGCATTAGCCAATCAAAATGTGTTTTACAAAACAATTGCATTAGAATTTCAACTTTACAGTTGGAATTACCAACTTTAAAGTTGGAATTACCAACTTAAAAAAAATATTCCGTGGCACTAATACGCTTCCGTAAAACTGACATAAAAACCTTAAGCAAGCGATTCAAATGATTTTATAATACAGTAAAGTTTTGCGTAAAAAAGATCATATTCGATTAATTTTTCTTTATATATTTATACATGTTTCACATGTTTAGACGTCGCGCACAGAACTGGGGCAGATTTTGTAACGTCAAAGTATACTTTTCTGACGTTATTGCACATGTCGTTTAAGCGTAAAAACGTCAAAAATTCAAGGCGTAACAAATCAGACTAGACATTTCATTTTTGCTCCCGTTTTCTTAAAAATGTCTTATTTAATATTTTTTCTTTAAATACAAAATTTTATTCACTTGCACAGTTCAAAAATAATATTTAATCTGTTAAAAGTTCCAGCAAATAAAGAATACAGCTCATATTGGTGTTATACGCCCGGTTAAATATTATAATACGCATATTTGTGTCGAAGTAACAAAACCGACTAGACATCAAAATCGCTCTATTAATCTCTCCTACTGCTTGCTTAAATTTTTTTAAAGAAAAATTTGACTACTTCTTGATTTGCACATTTCATTTATCATCTTAGTTTTACAAAAAGAACCCTTTATATAGTAAAATATCTTTATCAAACATTCTATCTTTTCTTGTAACTTGTCAGGATTACGTCATGTTACGGAACGCTTCCTATTTTACGAACAGTCGGAACAGTCCGTAAATTAGAAATTAATTATTGAATGTTGTGTGACATCATCATAGGAAGTTATAGAAGCTTGGTACACATTGTCAGAAAAATCCATGTACCCAAACCCTTAAATTGACCAAAAATACCAACGCCCGTCGTTTACAGTGTTACAAGTTACGCAATTTCAAACCCTAATACTATGCGCGACGTCATATTGATAATTTGATCCTTGCACTATAATTTTTCTTTTTATTTATTTTTTTAAATTCATTACAGAAAAAAAACAGTCTCCATACATCGCAAAAGTGAAGCCTTTGAACATTTTTCACCTTTTTCTTTGGAATCGAGGTCTTGTCTTATCGTAATGTATTTAATTAAAGCAAAATAATTAAAAATTCATTACTTTTATTTAAGGAAGTTGACTGCCCGGGTGGATTCTTTCTAAGATCAGCAGGAGTCTGTAAGAACAGTAAGTAAAAATTAAAGCATATGATGATTATATATTTATGCCATTGCAATGGGATTTTTTAAAATAATTGTTAGATTGATTGAATGCATTAAATGATATGCGAAGTATATATATATATATATATATATATATATATATATATATATATATATATATATATATATATATATATATATATATATATATATATATATATATATATATATATTAAGTTATCATGGCAAAAACGACAATTTTAAAGTAATTTTAAAAATAAAAACTTACAAAAATATTTGATAAGTTATGCAAAATAACTTTTTAAAAATTTTCATTCTTAAATGAAATATTTAAATTTTAGTAAAGTTTTTTGTGATGTTTCCGAGACAGACATTTTATACTACCTGGATTACACTCAGTCAGCTTACTACAGTCTCCTTAGATTCTTTGTTGAATAATTCCACAAAGGAACATATGTAGGCAAGTGGGCATGGCAATTTGTCTCTTGATAAAGTCAAAAGAATAAAGCGCTTCTGTTAATTCTTCCATAATAAGGCATGATTTGCTTAATTTGGGAACTGAGAAACGTTTTGATAAACCAACTTTTGCTTTTCAAGAAATCTCTTCCAAAAAGTTACTGCTGTAATAGTAAAATTACACGATAAGTGCGTACTGGTCCCTGCCGACAAAGCATATAACAATATTGTCTTTGTCTGTAAGGCTCATTAAAAATGTATTATAGAGGAATTCTACAAGTTGCAATCGTACTTATACTCATAGCTCTATTTCTAAGGAAGACATTCTTCAAAGTTATATTTCAGTTTTGAATATTTTTAACATTCTAAACAACCACATAATTTGAATTGCTTTATCTATATTGGATTCAACTTCATAAAAATCCTTACAAACAAAGATACATAGCGGGTTACAGTAAATATTCAACCAAGCCTCTTTCTTTACGCCTCACCAGGATATTAACAGTTGTGAAGGAGAAACTTCAGGATTTCTGTGCAACAATATATTCGACAAGTAGTGTAAATCAGATGTGGCTACTAGTACTTAAAAATTCCAAGGAACTTTTGGAAAATTTAAAGTCACAAAATTTTACTAGATCAAAATCATTAAAACCTAAGATTTTTCAACTTTATATACAACCATTCCTCACGATAAATTAAAGTTCAGGCTTTTTATATCATTGACAGCTGCTTTTTTAATAATAATGGAACTTGTAAATTAACTCACCTTTCCATTGGTCATTTGCAAAATTATTTTGTTTTAAAAAAATTGTACACACAAATACTCTGAAGTTGATATTAAGAAGATGCTTCAGTTTTTGATTGACTATATCATTGCGTTTTTTGGAGACCATGTTTTCCAACAGTCTACCAATGGTGCCAATTGCGCCCCGTTATTAGAAGTCCTATTTTTGTATTCAGAATTTGTCCAAAATCTTTTAAATGAAAAGAAAAAAACCTGAACACCTGCCGTGGCCTTCAACTAGACATATAGATATATCGACGACGTATTGTCAATTAACAATGGTAATTTCCATTCCTATGTCGATACGATATATCCTGGTGAACTTGAAGTAAAAGATACCAAATAGTCTGAAACATCTGTTTCTTAGATATTCTATTTGAAAAGAACGATGACCGAGATTTATTACAAACGGGATGACTTTAAATTTTCAATTTTAAAGTTTCCTTACTTAAGCAGCAATATACCTTCATCAACTGCAAACAAGATTTTTATCTCTCAGTTGATTCGATGCGCAAGTGCATGCGTATGAAAAATTTTAAAACGAGGTAAGTTATTGGCAAACAAGGTTCTGAAACAATAATATCAACAGTCTCGTTTAAAGTCACCATTGTATAAGTTCTATTGTCGCTACAATGACTTTGTCAGCAAATACAATTTATCATTAAGTCAAACATGTCAAATGCACAGGTACTTGGGTCTTGGTTTATAAATATGTATAATGTACCCTAATGATACAATGTATGTACTTTTTTACATATCAATAAGGCCTAAGGTACATTATACATATTAAACCAAGACCCAAGTACCTGTGGTCAAATGCTGACTTACGTTTTTCACACTTATTGTTAGGCCATTTTTACACACTGAATTGTCGACGTTTTTTTTTACTTCCCAGTCATGACAAAGATCACACAGCGAGTGTGATCCGTCGGCAAGAGATGCTCATTTCTCCATGGCACCTGATCCCACCTCTGCCTCTTCTATTTTGGAGGTCCATGTTTGCTCTACTCCTATTTTGTATTGTTTAATGGCTTTAATATTATTTATAAAGATATTTTGTAGAAATTCCCACTAAATGTACAATTAATGTTAATTTCGAAAAATATTCAATTTGGTACATTCCAAAATTAACACTGCATGTACAGGTCTGGACGATTTCCAAATAAGGAAGTCAAGAGCGATAACCCTGAATTGCTATAAATATACAGAATAAACAAGGTGCTAGTCCTTCTGACCAATCAGATAACAGCATTTAGACATACCCATGTGAAAATAAATAAAACACGTGGTTTTATAGTTTTTTGCTCAAAAGATTTTTTTGAAACAAATATTTTGTAAACTTTATGCACATTTATGAATAATATTATATTTATGACAATTCTACCGTGATCAAACATGACTTGAAAGCTTAGAAAACGTTTTAAGTGGGATTAAAAATCTGTTACTAAGAGGTAGCATTCCCAGAACTTTAACTTACGTTAAAATTTTGATATAAATACGGAAAATTTTCAGTTTTTAGAGCCTGACATAAAAATCCAAGCGAATGGATAACAGAGCTAGTATTAATTATTTTTTGAGTGTTTCTAACAAAACAATTTCTAGTATGTCTACATGCGAGGTAAGATTTTGGGGAAAACACATTCATGCATAATTATTCTCTTTTCTCCACGTTTACGGTTTTACTTGCGCCCATTTAAACTCTGCATAGCTTATTGTTCGGCGCTCATGAAATCCGTGATATTTCAAAACTATATATAGACTATAGGATAATATTAATAGACTTATTCTTCAAGGTATTTCATCTTGCTTCTGAAGATTTTTTGGCAAAAAAATCTTTTTGGGGAAAAAACATAAGCACGTGTTTTCTTTTTGTTCTTTTAAAATATTTTTTGGAGTGTGTAAAAATGCTGTTGTCTGATTGGACAGAAAAATAATTACGTGTACATTATGTATATTTATAGCAACTTTCAGTTATCGTTCTTGACTTCCATATTTGGAAATCGTCCAGATCTGATGTAATCTAAGTGAAACCAAAGAAACATTAAAACATTTCGCGTTTTCAAGGGCAACCTTCGTATATACCATCGGTAGGTGTAAATGGATTTTCATTTTGAATAAATAAATCAAGTTTAATTTTGTGAGAAATTTTTCTATCTCATATCAAGGAAAATATTCAGATATTGTACAAAAATAAATTAAATACTAGTAGATTAAATATTAATGATGTCGTTTTGATCGTCTTTTTTAAATACGTGCAAACAATATTTTTTTAACGATAAGATTCTATGTACATCTTATAAATTAAATTTTCATTTATTTCAGATAATCTAGCCTTACATAGTCCTGTCACGATGAGCTCCGTGTACTACCACCCTGCCTACGCCCACCAGGGCCACGGTAACGGGAGTCTAGCGGTAGACGGGTCGGTCAAGTCTGACGACGAAGAGTGCGCTTTGACTAACCTTGATCTTCAGCCGTGGTTCATAATAGATTTATTGGACCAATTCTACGTCACACGGGTTGTTTTTGTGAACCGAAAAACCTCAGGTACTAGTAATTTGAGACTACGGATTTATTGTCTGCTTTTGCTACATATTTATCAAACCTTTCCTCTTTTTGAGATTTTTCTTCACTTCCAAATAATAATATAGTTCTTATTATTTTTAATGAGATTACTTCTGAAAGTTGTACAAGACTTGTCTGATGATATTTGTATAAAGTCACTAGTAAATTACTTTATCAAAAATACCAGGGTACATATATCTGTACAAATGTTTGATATTTTATATTTCGCAAGTAAAGCTTAAGGACAAAATAACTTCTTGATTTACTTAATATCGTACACATATAATTCAGGCAAACTTAATTTTATCTTCTTTGGTGAACATGCAAAAGAAAAACACTTATATTTTTATTAATAAGAATTATGTACATGTATCAATTATTTCTGACTTCTTTAGAATGGCGTTTGCATGATTTAAACGTGACGGTGGGGAAAGACAACATAACCTTCCCGTGTTTTTGTGGATTCTTCCAAGGTCCTGGAACTTCCCACCAGGAGATCAATATGACGTGTGCAGGAAACTGTAGAGGGCGCTACGTACGTCTTCAGATTACCTCCCCTTCTCCGGAACATTTACAGTTATGTGAAGTGGAGGTCTACAGTAAATGCTATGTGTAGACTAATTCAACTCACCCTTGGGAAAATAATACTATTATTAGCACAATATATAATTTACACTAAATGTCAACTTTGAATCATAGGTTTTTTGAACTTTTTTTCAAAGATTTTTTTAACTTTAAATTCTATATCATCTTAATGACTACCTATACTTCATCAACGTTTCTTTTATTTATAGAATGCGACATTTTTTTTTTTTTTTTTGGTTTATTTTCAGATTATTTCAAGAATAAATATGTTATCACAAACTGCTTTCATTGCAAAAGCCAGCGTCGTAAACCAAACCCGGCCTCATGAATATTTTAATATAGCGTACAATTAATACTCATTCGCTCCGGACAAACTTTTTTGGAACAAAAATCTGTGGAAATTTTGAAAAGTGTGTGAATACACATTACCTCGGGAATATTCAGAGACTTCTTTTTGATCATTTTCAAATACTCAACACCTGATTTTCAGAAACCTGAGTATCGGACTACCTTAACTGGAATAAGATTTTTTTTCTGCTTAAAAATTGATTTTGGCGAAAACCTTTTTGTTTGTGTTGTTCATTATATAGCTGAATGTTGAGTTAACTCCCCCAACCAATCCATTAAGTTACCTGTAAATATCCATTCATTCTTTTTGGAAAATCATCCATTCTTTTAAAGAATTGGAAGGTTTTCCTTTTTAAAAAGAATGGACAGTTTTAAAAAAAAACAAACACTGGAGAGTTACAAGTAGTCTTTGACATGTGTTCAATAGGGAAACGAAACAAAATATGCATAAAACATAAAACATTAATTTAGAAATGCAAATATTTACAAAAAGGAACAAGGAGCACTAATTAATTTAGTCAAGAAGACGATGTCTATATTACATCGATCCGCTGTCCATGAATCCAAGAAAAATGCACATTACTTCAATATTCAGAACTTAATTTTTACAAATCTTGAATTTCATGTTGGAGAAAAAAAGCCTTCTTTTAATAGAAGTACGGCTACTTTAAATCCACCATCCAGAAAACAGTTTCAGCAATGAAACTACACTGCTAATATTTCCTGTAGAAAATAAATATTTTTATTAAAATATGAATTGGATTTTAAATACATTTTCAGGTTAAAGTTTGGTCAATTCAACACGAGGAACACAATATAATATTACCATACATTTCACTGCTTTCACAGTAAATATATCCTCAAAAACTAACTTCAAATAAATCATTTCCAATTTCATTCGTCATTGAGTATCTATATTTTGTCGAAGTTCACTTTTAGGTCAAAGTTTGGCTGATATTTTCTTTGACTATTCACTGTTTCCAGATCCAGATATCATTGATATTTTGCATATTTTTGTTCCTTTGATGTTGATTCTGTCGTAAATACTAGTACTCTCTCCATCAGAGGTAAACATGTATGTCCTTGTAACAAAAATTATCAAAATTATATTGAAGCATCGCATACTTGTATTAACACCTACTAATATCCCAGAAAATTCACCTGTAACTGTCCATTCTTTAAAGACTTTTTCTTAAATTTTTATCTGAAAAAAAAAACAACAACAAAACAAAATCAATAGATAATCAACAAATTGTTATGCACTCTAGCTTACCTATGACTGTCCATTCTGTAAACAATGAACTTGTCATTTTGCGTGTGGTATCAAATATATCTGATATCAGTTTTGTACAAATTTATAAATTACTTTATTTTAATCCGTATGGAAAAAACTTAATTTTCCAATATAATCTTTTCGTGTTTCATTTTTTTAAAGACGTCTCGAAACTGGTTTAGAAATCAGAATGTAATTAAAATTTTGACTTTTGAGCTTGAATACTGTTCGTTATCTCCATATGTTTCATTTCATACATTTTAAAAATATACAAAACAGATATCTGAGGAACATATCGTCTGGCCTAAGCAGGAGAAAGGCCTCAAACTGTCCATTCTGTGAGAGAAAGAACTAATCTCGGGCTGTGCATTCTGTGAGAGAGAAAGCACAATCTCGGGCCTACAACCCGAGATTAGATTTTTCTCTCATCACAGAATGAACAGTTCGAGACATTTCTCCTTTAAATAATTCAGCTTGTGTGTAATACAAGTGTATAAAGTTTTAGAAATTTAATAAATATACTGGGGTATTTTTTTTTAAGATAAATATTTCTTCTTGTACTAGTAAACCTTTATCATAATATTACTTGTTTAATTTTTTTTCCAAATTTAAGTCATATTTTAGTTTAAAATTTACAGTTTTATAACCATATGACTTTCAACTCAGTTTCATGAATAAATTATGTTTCCATTTATAATCTTAGTATTTTTGTTAATGATGTACAGCTGTAATATCGTGTAATATAAGAGGTGGGATCATTTGTCATGAAAAGGTCAGCTTCCCCTGTCGATCCCACACATCCGCCCTGTGTTCTTCGCCACGATCGTAACAACGAAAAATGTAGACAATTCACTGTTAAAATAATGGACTTACAATATTTAATATGTAGAAAGTATTAATGAAAGATTTTATTTGCTGACCACGCATTGTATCTTCAACAGAAGTTGCAAAATGTTGACTTTAGACGAGCCATTTAATATCCTTGTTTTGTCAACTTGTTTGTCAATAACTTGCCAAGTTTTTGTAATTTAGTTAAGTTACCATTTTCTAGTAAATTATCCAATCACTCTTTTTTGTACTTCCAAAATACAGGAGAGTTTATATAGAAACTTCAACAGCCGTAAAATTGTAATGTGATTTGTCAAACAATATCTTAATACCATGTGTAGCACTCAGAAATTAAAAAGAAATTTAACCCAATTCTAATTCTACCACTGGATATTTAACACATACAGTTTAATTTCCAAGGGAGAAATTCTTCAAAAGTAAATTTCAGTGCTTAAAACTTTTTAATACACCAATCAACAAAAAATCTCTGCAAGAAAAGATTTGTTTGGTCAAGAAAATGCTCCACCAAGCTCTTATCTTTACTCACTGCTCTAAAAGGAGATCAGCAGATGATATTTTTATAAATTCGCTTTCAGGAAAGAACCAGTGTACAAACACATGCACGCAAACGTTAAAATACTAGTAGTAATTTGGTCTTTGATAATAATAATCAGTTTTTAACATAAAATAATTTAAATAAATTTAAAGCGAGGCATTTTACTCACTGATAGTTTGATGTTACAGGGATTTCAACAACCTAGCTTAAAGTCGACATTTCTATGGTCACCTTGTTAGCTAATACATGTAGGACAGGCTTCATTGTGTCTTAATTTGGCTGATGTTTTTCATACCAATTGTTAGGCAATATTGCTTTTATACTGAATATGACTAGGAAAGTTACGTCTACCTGCTTAATAGATAGGGTTCACAGCAGGTGTGTCCGGTCAACAGGGGATGCTTACTCCTCCTAGGCAACTGACCTTACCTCATGACTTAAATTTCCAGACTTCCGTGTTTTATGCCCTTTTCAATTACTTGTTATGTTAATTTTTTGAGATCGATCACTGTGCGCTATATCATAATGATTTTCCCCGTGGTAGAAGCAAGGTATAGACAGAAATTACCTTAAAAATTTTTATAGTTATTTGCCGCTTCTTGTAATCAATAAAACTTTATGTATTAATTAGTTTGTTATTTTAAAGCAAGGCCATATCATTTCACGTCAGTGAGGAAACGAACTTATAATATTTTTTTATTAAATAATTTGTGTAGAAGAAAATAATTTGGTGTCAATGGTATTTCGAAGAAGGATATAACTTTGAGCGAGGGACATTTTCCTTGAAATATATTTACTACTGAGGGCATTTACTGTTATAAATAAAAAAATTCTGGTGGAAAATAAGAATGAAATTAGCTTGCATAGCACAGCTTATGTATATCTCCCTACTTAGACGTATGGATGCAAAAGTCATAACAGCAGGTTATTTCTTTCAAGGATACCTTCCGGAAAAATCCGAAGCATGTGTAATTGACACGTTTCCTCTGACTAACAGATCCAGACCTCTCTGTGCTACTCTTTGTACCAGGAACCTTCTCTGTAATTCGTTTGACTTATGTTCCGGCGATGGACAACCTACCTGTCGTCTTCGTTATGGACAAACAAGAACACTTCCCAATTCTACCCTCAGCTGTATTCATTTTGAGATTGTATCGGTAAGATTTTTAGACTTCTTATTTCAATTTTTGAAATTTTGAACATTTTATTTCGATATTTTTTCAATATATATTACTTCCATTTCTCAATGACTAAGTAGTAGAGTGGCCGCTAAAATTCATAGGCATCGAAAGAAAGTTTTCATTTTACTTGTCTTGATGTTCAAGCAGTCTAACTCGCTCTTCTCACAGGGGCATCTTATCCACTCTGTTCTCTATTTCACATATAAAAATA